CCCGATCGATCACCCCTGCCGACTGACACTTCTTGAAACTTTGTCACAGATCAAGGGACCATCATCGAAAAAGACGAGGAAGGCCGTCCTCTTGGACCTGACGGGTCTCCTCTTCCAACTGGCGATTTCGGGTCACCCTCTTGGAGCAGACGGTAAACCCATACCGACTGATCGCAGTGGTGTTCCATTGGACAAAGATGGGGAACCATTGCCTACTGACAGCAGTGGGCATTATGTCACTGTTCCACGAGAAGAGGCCGTAAGCAAAGAACTGCCTACGGACGAAAGCGGAAACGTTATCCATCCAGTGACAAAGCCCGATGGATCACCTCTGCCTACTGACACTTCTGGAAACTTTGTCACAGATGAAGGGACCATCATCGAAAAAGACGAGGAAGGCCGTCCTCTTGGACCTGACGGGCAAGTTCTGCCAACGGATGACGCAGGAAACTTTATCTACCCTGCGGTTGGACCTGATGGAAGTCCGCTTCCAACTGATGAGCATAAGCGACCCATTCACCCAATTCTTGGACCTGACGGGTCTCCTCTTCCAACTGACGATTCGGGTCACCCTCTTGGAGCAGACGGTAAACCCATACCGACTGATCGCAGTGGTGTTCCATTGGACAAAGATGGGGAACCATTGCCTACTGACAGCAGTGGGCATTATGTCACTGTTCCACGAGAGAGAGGCCGTAAGCAAAGAACTGCCTACGGACGAAAGCGGAAACGTTATCCATCCAGTGACAAAGCCCGATGGATCACCTCTGCCTACTGACACTTCTGGAAACTTTGTCACAGATGAAGGGACCATCATCGAAAAAGACGAGGAAGGCCGTCCTCTTGGACCTGACGGGCAAGTTCTGCCAACGGATGACGCAGGAAACTTTATCTACCCTGCGGTTGGACCTGATGGAAGTCCGCTTCCAACTGATGAGCATAAGCGACCCATTCACCCAATTCTTGGACCTGACGGGTCTCCTCTTCCAACTGACGATTCGGGTCACCCTCTTGGAGCAGACGGTAAACCCATACCGACTGATCGCAGTGGTGTTCCATTGGACAAAGATGGGGAACCATTGCCTACTGACAGCAGTGGGCATTATGTCACTGTTCCACGAGAAGAGGCCGTAAGCAAAGAACTGCCTACGGACGAAAGCGGAAACGTTATCCATCCAGTGACAAAGCCCGATGGATCACCTCTGCCTACTGACACTTCTGGAAACTTTGTCACAGATGAAGGGACCATCATCGAAAAAGACGAGGAAGGCCGTCCTCTTGGACCTGACGGGCAAGTTCTGCCAACGGATGACGCAGGAAACTTTATCTACCCTGCGGTTGGACCTGATGGAAGTCCGCTTCCAACTGATGAGCATAAGCGACCCATTCACCCAATTCTTGGACCTGACGGGTCTCCTCTTCCAACTGACGATTCGGGTCACCCTCTTGGAGCAGACGGTAAACCCATACCGACTGATCGCAGTGGTGTTCCATTGGACAAAGATGGGGAACCATTGCCTACTGACAGCAGTGGGCATTATGTCACTGTTCCACGAGAAGAGGCCGTAAGCAAAGAACTGCCTACGGACGAAAGCGGAAACGTTATCCATCCAGTGACAAAGCCCGATGGATCACCTCTGCCTACTGACACTTCTGGAAACTTTGTCACAGATGAAGGGACCATCATCGAAAAAGACGAGGAAGGCCGTCCTCTTGGACCTGACGGGCAAGTTCTGCCAACGGATGACGCAGGAAACTTTATCTACCCTGCGGTTGGACCTGATGGAAGTCCGCTTCCAACTGATGAGCATAAGCGACCCATTCACCCAATTCTTGGACCTGACGGGTCTCCTCTTCCAACTGACGATTCGGGTCACCCTCTTGGAGCAGACGGTAAACCCATACCGACTGATCGCAGTGGTGTTCCATTGGACAAAGATGGGGAACCATTGCCTACTGACAGCAGTGGGCATTATGTCACTGTTCCACGAGAAGAGGCCGTAAGCAAAGAACTGCCTACGGACGAAAGCGGAAACGTTATCCATCCAGTGACAAAGCCCGATGGATCACCTCTGCCTACTGACACTTCTGGAAACTTTGTCACAGATGAAGGGACCATCATCGAAAAAGACGAGGAAGGCCGTCCTCTTGGACCTGACGGGCAAGTTCTGCCAACGGATGACGCAGGAAACTTTATCTACCCTGCGGTTGGACCTGATGGAAGTCCGCTTCCAACTGATGAGCATAAGCGACCCATTCACCCAATTCTTGGACCTGACGGGTCTCCTCTTCCAACTGACGATTCGGGTCACCCTCTTGGAGCAGACGGTAAACCCATACCGACTGATCGCAGTGGTGTTCCATTGGACAAAGATGGGGAACCATTGCCTACTGACAGCAGTGGGCATTATGTCACTGTTCCACGAGAAGAGGCCGTAAGCAAAGAACTGCCTACGGACGAAAGCGGAAACGTTATCCATCCAGTGACAAAGCCCGATGGATCACCTCTGCCTACTGACACTTCTGGAAACTTTGTCACAGATGAAGGGACCATCATCGAAAAAGACGAGGAAGGCCGTCCTCTTGGACCTGACGGGCAAGTTCTGCCAACGGATGACGCAGGAAACTTTATCTACCCTGCGGTTGGACCTGATGGAAGTCCGCTTCCAACTGATGAGCATAAGCGACCCATTCACCCAATTCTTGGACCTGACGGGTCTCCTCTTCCAACTGACGATTCGGGTCACCCTCTTGGAGCAGACGGTAAACCCATACCGACTGATCGCAGTGGTGTTCCATTGGACAAAGATGGGGAACCATTGCCTACTGACAGCAGTGGGCATTATGTCACTGTTCCACGAGAAGAGGCCGTAAGCAAAGAACTGCCTACGGACGAAAGCGGAAACGTTATCCATCCAGTGACAAAGCCCGATGGATCACCTCTGCCTACTGACACTTCTGGAAACTTTGTCACAGATGAAGGGACCATCATCGAAAAAGACGAGGAAGGCCGTCCTCTTGGACCTGACGGGCAAGTTCTGCCAACGGATGACGCAGGAAACTTTATCTACCCTGCGGTTGGACCTGATGGAAGTCCGCTTCCAACTGATGAGCATAAGCGACCCATTCACCCAATTCTTGGACCTGACGGGTCTCCTCTTCCAACTGACGATTCGGGTCACCCTCTTGGAGCAGACGGTAAACCCATACCGACTGATCGCAGTGGTGTTCCATTGGACAAAGATGGGGAACCATTGCCTACTGACAGCAGTGGGCATTATGTCACTGTTCCACGAGAAGAGGCCGTAAGCAAAGAACTGCCTACGGACGAAAGCGGAAACGTTATCCATCCAGTGACAAAGCCCGATGGATCACCTCTGCCTACTGACACTTCTGGAAACTTTGTCACAGATGAAGGGACCATCATCGAAAAAGACGAGGAAGGCCGTCCTCTTGGACCTGACGGGCAAGTTCTGCCAACGGATGACGCAGGAAACTTTATCTACCCTGCGGTTGGACCTGATGGAAGTCCGCTTCCAACTGATGAGCATAAGCGACCCATTCACCCAATTCTTGGACCTGACGGGTCTCCTCTTCCAACTGACGATTCGGGTCACCCTCTTGGAGCAGACGGTAAACCCATACCGACTGATCGCAGTGGTGTTCCATTGGACAAAGATGGGGAACCATTGCCTACTGACAGCAGTGGGCATTATGTCACTGTTCCACGAGAAGAGGCCGTAAGCAAAGAACTGCCTACGGACGAAAGCGGAAACGTTATCCATCCAGTGACAAAGCCCGATGGATCACCTCTGCCTACTGACACTTCTGGAAACTTTGTCACAGATGAAGGGACCATCATCGAAAAAGACGAGGAAGGCCGTCCTCTTGGACCTGACGGGCAAGTTCTGCCAACGGATGACGCAGGAAACTTTATCTACCCTGCGGTTGGACCTGATGGAAGTCCGCTTCCAACTGATGAGCATAAGCGACCCATTCACCCAATTCTTGGACCTGACGGGTCTCCTCTTCCAACTGACGATTCGGGTCACCCTCTTGGAGCAGACGGTAAACCCATACCGACTGATCGCAGTGGTGTTCCATTGGACAAAGATGGGGAACCATTGCCTACTGACAGCAGTGGGCATTATGTCACTGTTCCACGAGAAGAGGCCGTAAGCAAAGAACTGCCTACGGACGAAAGCGGAAACGTTATCCATCCAGTGACAAAGCCCGATGGATCACCTCTGCCTACTGACACTTCTGGAAACTTTGTCACAGATGAAGGGACCATCATCGAAAAAGACGAGGAAGGCCGTCCTCTTGGACCTGACGGGCAAGTTCTGCCAACGGATGACGCAGGAAACTTTATCTACCCTGCGGTTGGACCTGATGGAAGTCCGCTTCCAACTGATGAGCATAAGCGACCCATTCACCCAATTCTTGGACCTGACGGGTCTCCTCTTCCAACTGACGATTCGGGTCACCCTCTTGGAGCAGACGGTAAACCCATACCGACTGATCGCAGTGGTGTTCCATTGGACAAAGATGGGGAACCATTGCCTACTGACAGCAGTGGGCATTATGTCACTGTTCCACGAGAAGAGGCCGTAAGCAAAGAACTGCCTACGGACGAAAGCGGAAACGTTATCCATCCAGTGACAAAGCCCGATGGATCACCTCTGCCTACTGACACTTCTGGAAACTTTGTCACAGATGAAGGGACCATCATCGAAAAAGACGAGGAAGGCCGTCCTCTTGGACCTGACGGGCAAGTTCTGCCAACGGATGACGCAGGAAACTTTATCTACCCTGCGGTTGGACCTGATGGAAGTCCGCTTCCAACTGATGAGCATAAGCGACCCATTCACCCAATTCTTGGACCTGACGGGTCTCCTCTTCCAACTGACGATTCGGGTCACCCTCTTGGAGCAGACGGTAAACCCATACCGACTGATCGCAGTGGTGTTCCATTGGACAAAGATGGGGAACCATTGCCTACTGACAGCAGTGGGCATTATGTCACTGTTCCACGAGAAGAGGCCGTAAGCAAAGAACTGCCTACGGACGAAAGCGGAAACGTTATCCATCCAGTGACAAAGCCCGATGGATCACCTCTGCCTACTGACACTTCTGGAAACTTTGTCACAGATGAAGGGACCATCATCGAAAAAGACGAGGAAGGCCGTCCTCTTGGACCTGACGGGCAAGTTCTGCCAACGGATGACGCAGGAAACTTTATCTACCCTGCGGTTGGACCTGATGGAAGTCCGCTTCCAACTGATGAGCATAAGCGACCCATTCACCCAATTCTTGGACCTGACGGGTCTCCTCTTCCAACTGACGATTCGGGTCACCCTCTTGGAGCAGACGGTAAACCCATACCGACTGATCGCAGTGGTGTTCCATTGGACAAAGATGGGGAACCATTGCCTACTGACAGCAGTGGGCATTATGTCACTGTTCCACGAGAAGAGGCCGTAAGCAAAGAACTGCCTACGGACGAAAGCGGAAACGTTATCCATCCAGTGACAAAGCCCGATGGATCACCTCTGCCTACTGACACTTCTGGAAACTTTGTCACAGATGAAGGGACCATCATCGAAAAAGACGAGGAAGGCCGTCCTCTTGGACCTGACGGGCAAGTTCTGCCAACGGATGACGCAGGAAACTTTATCTACCCTGCGGTTGGACCTGATGGAAGTCCGCTTCCAACTGATGAGCATAAGCGACCCATTCACCCAATTCTTGGACCTGACGGGTCTCCTCTTCCAACTGACGATTCGGGTCACCCTCTTGGAGCAGACGGTAAACCCATACCGACTGATCGCAGTGGTGTTCCATTGGACAAAGATGGGGAACCATTGCCTACTGACAGCAGTGGGCATTATGTCACTGTTCCACGAGAAGAGGCCGTAAGCAAAGAACTGCCTACGGACGAAAGCGGAAACGTTATCCATCCAGTGACAAAGCCCGATGGATCACCTCTGCCTACTGACACTTCTGGAAACTTTGTCACAGATGAAGGGACCATCATCGAAAAAGACGAGGAAGGCCGTCCTCTTGGACCTGACGGGCAAGTTCTGCCAACGGATGACGCAGGAAACTTTATCTACCCTGCGGTTGGACCTGATGGAAGTCCGCTTCCAACTGATGAGCATAAGCGACCCATTCACCCAATTCTTGGACCTGACGGGTCTCCTCTTCCAACTGACGATTCGGGTCACCCTCTTGGAGCAGACGGTAAACCCATACCGACTGATCGCAGTGGTGTTCCATTGGACAAAGATGGGGAACCATTGCCTACTGACAGCAGTGGGCATTATGTCACTGTTCCACGAGAAGAGGCCGTAAGCAAAGAACTGCCTACGGACGAAAGCGGAAACGTTATCCATCCAGTGACAAAGCCCGATGGATCACCTCTGCCTACTGACACTTCTGGAAACTTTGTCACAGATGAAGGGACCATCATCGAAAAAGACGAGGAAGGCCGTCCTCTTGGACCTGACGGGCAAGTTCTGCCAACGGATGACGCAGGAAACTTTATCTACCCTGCGGTTGGACCTGATGGAAGTCCGCTTCCAACTGATGAGCATAAGCGACCCATTCACCCAATTCTTGGACCTGACGGGTCTCCTCTTCCAACTGACGATTCGGGTCACCCTCTTGGAGCAGACGGTAAACCCATACCGACTGATCGCAGTGGTGTTCCATTGGACAAAGATGGGGAACCATTGCCTACTGACAGCAGTGGGCATTATGTCACTGTTCCACGAGAAGAGGCCGTAAGCAAAGAACTGCCTACGGACGAAAGCGGAAACGTTATCCATCCAGTGACAAAGCCCGATGGATCACCTCTGCCTACTGACACTTCTGGAAACTTTGTCACAGATGAAGGGACCATCATCGAAAAAGACGAGGAAGGCCGTCCTCTTGGACCTGACGGGCAAGTTCTGCCAACGGATGACGCAGGAAACTTTATCTACCCTGCGGTTGGACCTGATGGAAGTCCGCTTCCAACTGATGAGCATAAGCGACCCATTCACCCAATTCTTGGACCTGACGGGTCTCCTCTTCCAACTGACGATTCGGGTCACCCTCTTGGAGCAGACGGTAAACCCATACCGACTGATCGCAGTGGTGTTCCATTGGACAAAGATGGGGAACCATTGCCTACTGACAGCAGTGGGCATTATGTCACTGTTCCACGAGAAGAGGCCGTAAGCAAAGAACTGCCTACGGACGAAAGCGGAAACGTTATCCATCCAGTGACAAAGCCCGATGGATCACCTCTGCCTACTGACACTTCTGGAAACTTTGTCACAGATGAAGGGACCATCATCGAAAAAGACGAGGAAGGCCGTCCTCTTGGACCTGACGGGCAAGTTCTGCCAACGGATGACGCAGGAAACTTTATCTACCCTGCGGTTGGACCTGATGGAAGTCCGCTTCCAACTGATGAGCATAAGCGACCCATTCACCCAATTCTTGGACCTGACGGGTCTCCTCTTCCAACTGACGATTCGGGTCACCCTCTTGGAGCAGACGGTAAACCCATACCGACTGATCGCAGTGGTGTTCCATTGGACAAAGATGGGGAACCATTGCCTACTGACAGCAGTGGGCATTATGTCACTGTTCCACGAGAAGAGGCCGTAAGCAAAGAACTGCCTACGGACGAAAGCGGAAACGTTATCCATCCAGTGACGAAGCCCGATGGACCACCTCTGCCTACTGACACTTCTGGAAACTTTG